ATAAATAAAAGGTTGCAGTTTGATCCCTGGTCAGGGTGTGTGTGAGAGGCAACCAATCGATGCTCCTCTCTCTCTCTCTCTAATAATCAATTGAAAAACAACAACAAAACCCCTAAGATCCTCGGGTGAGGGTCTTTAAAAAGTCTGCACCCAACCGTACGGCACCCCACCAGCCATCCCTGTGCCCCCTCGCCCTGAGCCAGGCTCATGCAGACAGCTTCCCCCTGGGGTCCCTCCCTGAGCACCCCCCAGCCCACACTGAGCTCAGGGTCCTCCCCCACCGCACTCCTCCCCGGCTCCCCATCTCACCAGGCCAGCCCCAGTGCACCTGTCCCTTATCCCCATGGCCCTTCAATCTCATACCTGCGCCCCTCCTCCTCACCCTCCTCCCCTAACCTCCCTATGCACCCCCTCTCCTGCTCACAACCTTCCACGGCCCCCCAGCACCTCCAGGAAGCGCCTCAGCCTGGCATCCCTTCAGGCCCAGGCCTTCGTCCACCCCCACCCGCACCCTGCATTCCCCCCTCTGCACTGAGGACCCGGGGCCACGAAGGCACCTCTGGGCCCTGCCCACCTGTGGGGAGCATCCGCTCCCGGCTTTTCAGTTAAATGCTCATCCTTCCAGGTCGGCCCCAAGCATCACTGCTTCCGGGGGGCCTTCCCTGGCACCCACAGAGCCGTGGCCTGGGTGTGCACCGGGTCTGATGCTCCCCTGTTGCCACCTTGAAATCCTTGGCAAATTTTTAACAAGGGGCCCCACAGTTTTATTCTATGCTGGGCCTCTCGAATGATGGCCCCATGCTCCACACCGAGTTCGGGCCCACTCCTGCTTCCACGTGCCCGGGTGTCCATGTCAGGCTCCGCCCACCACTCCCAGCAGGTCTCATCACTCCGCACAGGAAAGGCGGGTCTGCCACTACTTGAGCTCCTACTGCGCGCCAGGAGGTGGCTTTCCTGCTTGCTCCCCGTCACCACTGCCACCTTCCTGCCTCCCTCCACCTTCAGCTTTCCATCCGTCACCCCATCTAATTCTCGTGGCCACCCTACAAAGTAGGCGCAGCATTGCGTTTCCAGAGAGGATCCCACAGAGGAAGCCACACACCAAGGCCCACAAATGGTGGAGCTGGGACTCAAACCCAGGGCAGCCTGTTCTTGAGTGCTCTAGACTGGAAGGATGAGTAGCAGATGGATGGATGGATGGATGGATGGATGGATGGATGGATGGATGGATGGATGGATGGATGGATGGATGGATGGATGGATGGATGCTGACTGGATGGATGGATACTGGATGGATGGATGGATGGATGGATGAATACTAGATGGATGGATGGATGGATGGATGGATACTAGGATGGATGAATGGATGGATGGATCAATACTAGATGGATGGATCAATACTAGATGGATGGATGGATGGAGATACTGGATGGATGGATGGATGGATGGATACTGGATGGATGGATGGATGGATGGATACTGGATGGATGGATGGATGGATGGATACTGGATGGATGGATGGATGGATGGATACTGGATGGATGGATGGATGGATGGATACTGGATGGATGGATGGATGGATGGATGAATACTGAATGGATGGATGGATGGATACTAGATAGATGGATAGATGGATGGATGAATACTGAATGGATGGATGGATGGATACTAGATGGATGGATAGATGAATATTAGATGGATGGATGGATGGATGGATGGATGGATACTGGATGAATGGATGGATGGATGGATACTAGATAGATGGATAGATGGATGGATGAATACTGAATGGATGGATGGATGGATACTAGATGGAAGGATAGATGGATAGATGAATACTAGATGGATGGATGGATGGATGGATGGATGGATGGATACTAGATGGATGAATGGATGGATGGATACTAGGATGGATGGATGGATGGATGGATCAATACTGGATTGATGGATGGATAGATGGATGAATACTGGATGGATGGATGGATGGATGGATGGATCAATACTAGATGGATGGATGGATGGATGGATCAATACTGGATGGATGGATGGATGGATGGATGGATAGATGGATCAGTACTGGGTGCGTGGATGGGTGGATGACGGATATGCGGTGAATGAGTGAGTGCACAAAGTAATTCCTGGAGATCTCCAAACGGCCAGCAGAGGCCTGGCCCGCCGCGTGCTCATCGCATTGGCCCAGATGAAGAGGCGGGGCAGGTGCTCACCTGCCTTGAACTTCTCCACCTGCTCCCTCAGTGTCTGGGCGCGGGCCTCCAGGCTGTCGGCCTCGGCGCGCACCTCTCCTATCTGCTGCTGCACCGAAGCCTCGTTCTCCTCCTTCAGCGACAGGCGGGCGGCGTCGCCATAGCGCGCCTTCTTCATGGCCTCCTTCATCTGCAGGGCGAGGGCGAGGCTGGGCCAGGCTGCCGGGGCTCACTCACCTCCTTGATCTCCTCCCGCAGACGCTCCAGCTCCGAGTTCTGCTCGTTGATGAAGTTGAACTCGGCGAAGTTGCGCTCCTCGGCTGAGCGGGGAAGGCGGGGCCAGGAGACGGAGTCAGGGACGCGCGGAAGAGACCAAACCAGGAGCGGAGGGAGGCGCACGGGACGGGGAGGGAGGTGCTGAGAACCACGGCGCAGAGGCCAGGCGGGGGGACACAGACGGAGAGACACGCAGAGAACGGGGACGCCGAGAAGCAAACGGAAAGACCCGGAGAGACCGAGAGAGACACGGACACACAGAAGTGAGGGAGAGAAAACAGTAGCGGCGGGAGAGAGACCGCAGCGGGCACACGGGGAGACGCAGGGGGAAGGGGACGATTCGGAGAGCAATGCCCAGGCCCAGGAGCAGGGAGGAGAGGGGAGGGGGCTGGGGGAGGCCGGAGGCAGGCAAACCCAGAGAAACGCCACGGACACAAAAGGACAGCGAAACAGCCCTACTGGTTTGGCGCAGTGGATAGAGCGAGCGTCCAGGTTCCCAGTTCGAGGTCAAGGGCACACACAGGCCCGGGTTGCTTCCTCCCCAGCAGGGGGCGTGCAGGAGGCAGCCGATCCATGATTCTCTCTCACCATTGATG